CAGCTGGCAGCTGTCACCCTAGAAAACCCCAATACACAGATTCCAGCCCCCAGCTCCTGACACCAGGGCACAGGACCATGCTTGGCCATGACACTGGGACAAGCTCCCGAAATCATAAAGGAGCTCCATGACATGGAGGAAAATGATTTTCCTACAGATTTGGAGACCGTTTCAAGAGGATATTGCATCCTGCTTTCCGTTGTTCCTGGCCGGTCTTCAGAGCTGGGAATGTCAAGTCTTTAAGAGAAGTGTTAGGGGGGGTATTTGCACTCTCTGTAACTACACACCATGGATCCTTCTGAGTGTCACCACATCAAGTCCCCTCTGGTTTTTAGTCCAAAGTTTCTAGGCCTGGGCTCTATTCTCAAGATTAGTTTTTAATATCCCAGTCCTTTGAAGCATTCCTTCCGAGCTGGGTTGAAAGCGACCATGGAGTCCGGTTTATCTGGGCTGGCCATCTCCGCTGACCAAATAAACACAATCATTGTCAAATCGCGCCTCCTCTGTGTGCCGAGGAGTGAAGGAAAGCCTAATCCAGCCTCTTGGGAGTCCTCACAGTGGCCTGGTCCAAAAACTCTTTTAACAGCACGAAGTGCAGTGAGACCAAAATCTTTTCAAGGCCAACGAGAAAGTTATAATATTTTTTTTTCTTCACTAAACTCATAAAGGAGGAATCCCTACTATAAATTCAAGATTGGTACCAACAAAAATGTTGGCAACACTCGCCATAAAGAATGACATTCATGCAATGTTTTCCCAGTGAAGCAAAATTAAATGGCAACAGATCTGCTTCCTTTGATTTAATAAACAGATAAAATGAGAGGAGAAGGAAAGGAAGAGAGGGAAGGAAGGAGGGAAGAAAAAAGGGAGGGAGGGAGGGAATGAAATAAAAATGCAGCAGTCACATAAGAATCCCAAGTAACAAAAGTGGAAAAATAGTTTGCAAATGCCACAGTATTTTGGGAAATATATTTGTCTGCTTGTCTTCCTCATGAAGGAAGGGGCTGATGAGTATTCTGTGCCTGGCCTACAGTGCTGAAAAGGTGAGGAAAGCACATATTATGGTGCAATTCCTGAGTTGTGAGGTTCGATTCCACTTTGGTAAACATATTTTACCTATTTTAAAATGTAATGCAAAATATTACTTATTGCATTCATTGTGGTCATATTTAAACCAGATCAAAAAAGGAGCCAGGGTTCCTTACAGATTTGCATAAACCGGGTTTAACAGACTAAATTCAACAGAGTCATTGGAATCCTCTTTCCCTTGATGGTCACAAGTCCTGGGCCTTTTCCTATCTTCCCATGACTTAATATATGCCCAAAGAGAATCTGTTCGAAAAAAATTTAACCTCCATTCTCACAGTACATTTGTTTCCCCAACCGGTCATAGATTAGAAGCTTTCCATAGTCAATGAGCCTGCCTGTAATCAGTTAATGTATTGGGGGTATACTCCCAAAGGTACTAGGGTCGAGTTTTGCGTATCATGGGCACTCATTGAATTTTAATTGACTCCTGATGGAACAATGAACTTCACGTTACCTCTGTACCCACCCTGCTCTTGTATCGCCAGGGAGCAAATTCAATCATGGAAAGGATTTTCAGATGGAGACACCATTGAAAAAGTAAAGGTTCCCATTTGGGACAAAGAGTTGGCTTGCCACATACTCGCCTGGGTCCTTCCTACATCATTTCTCTCCTGTACAATGTGTGAGCTTACTTTCCCTGTCCCTCTTCCCCTCAATGATTTGAGGATAATAAAATCCTCATCTTTATCACACATGCCAAGTACCATGCCAGGCACATAATAGGAACTCAGATATTGATGAATTCATTGTTAGCTTTCAAATTGTGACAACTTCAGGAGCAACTCGGAAGGTGAAGGAGGAAGTATGACTAAGTCCACTCTTAAAAATCCTACTCTTGGCTTAGCTCCCCTAATCAAATACAACAGATCCTGTCAGTGCTTCAGGATTATTAAGCCCTATCAGACATAAAATTCAGGAGTCAAGATTGAATTGAACCTTTCTTGTTAAGGTTTTCCATAGATTGATTAAATTATTCCACTTTTTTATGCCCCTGGACAATGGTTTTGTTTGTGAATCCAAGCTCCTAATGGACTAAATTTGTTATATATTGACATATACCATATTTTGCAAAAAAAGAGGAAAAGTGGTTGGTCTTCAGTGTGGCACAAGCATATTTTTAGAAATATGTATTTAAGATAATGGGGCTTGAAAGAAGTATTGTCACTCTTCCCAAGGTCAAGGAATTCTTTCTCCACATTTCAACATCTTAAGAATTTAACACAGACTGTGATTTTTTTTTTAATTACAAAGGTGCTCAACACCTTGATGACTGGTGTCATTAATATGCTGCAAGTGAAAATATGGCATCTAAAATGTCTTACTCTTTATCCTTTATTACCTCCCTGTCTGTGTAAGCATCAAGGCAACTGAAAGTAGGGCCATATCTGCCCAAAGGAGACCTGGTTCATTGCTGATTCTCAATAAAAGGCATATTGACTTGTTTCTTAGGCTCATTTTTAAAAGTTTATATAAACAACCTCCCCCACTTTGTATCAAATTTTCCATTTGTTCCAAAAGTTTCTAGAGTGGTAAGCCAAAATTAGATCATTGTATAGGTTGATACTAAAACCTAAAGAAATGTGTGCGATTTAATCCATGTTAACATTTCATGTGGAGTTAATAACAAACCAGTGGTAATTTCCATAGGATAGATGGAACTTGGGATGGGAAGGTATCAGCATAATTAGAGGTGTTATGTAGAATTGTTTGGCTCAGTGGATAGAACTTCAGCCTGCGGACTGAAAGGTCCCAGGTTCAATTCCAGTCAAAGGCATACACCTTGGTTGTGGGCACATCCCCAGTGTGAGGTGTGCAGGAGGCAGCTGATTGATGTTTCTCTCTCATCGATGTTTCTGAGTCCTAGGTAGCTTTTTTCCTTCAAGTATCTTGCTGTTCAAATAAACTCATTTTAAAATGGAAATAAGGAGAGGGGAAGGGGGAGGAGGGTCCGGCAACTACCTGAAAGGTAGAACTGGGCTGCTTGCGAGCCACATGCGGCTCTTTGGCCCCTTGAGTGTGGCTCTTCCACAAAATATTATGGCCTGGGCAAGTCTATTTTGAAGAAGTGGCGTTAGAAGAAGTTTAAAAAAATTACCTCTCAAAAGAAATTTCAATGGTTGTACTGTTGATATTTAGCTCTGTTGACTAATGAGTTTGCTGACCACTGTTTTAGCATAACTTATCCTCCCTTAAAGACAGATTGTCCTACATGTAACAGCTATGTGCAAAAGAAGTTATAAAATTATTCTTCGTTTTACAATGGTAAATGGCAAAGATCAAAACTCTCCAATCGGACAAGGTGTGCAAGGATTTTCATATTGTGGTGGTGGTGTTGTTGTCAAACAGTGAGAGCAAATGACTTACTGCGATATAAAGATAAGAGCTGGATGAGCATACCACAAGTGAAGAAATTTATTTTGTTTAAAAATAAATTACTTCCTATTTATAAGCAGGACAGCATTCTTACCCACCCTACTTTGTTGTTTCTATATACTGGTTTAAATCACAAGAAATTCACTTTCAGCTTCCCTTTTCCTGAAGCCAGTCTCTTCTCTCCCTAGAGGGGGTAACTCCTTGTCCAGGAAAGGTATGACTTGGGATCAAACGGGCTTCCTCAGGCTTTGCGATATGAAATACTAATGGGAAAGTCAGGTGCTAAGCCTGAGGGCTCCTTATCTCCCGCACTCACCCTCCACTGAGGAGGGAGGACCCGCGGGTGAGCGCTGACCGGCCGCTGGACCCCGGCCGCCGCTGCCCCGGCCACTTTGATCTCGCCCGTCTGCCTAATCAAGTTCATCTACTGCCCAGACCGCTCGGATTCAAAGAACTCCATTAAACAGTTGATTATCAGATGGTCATTTCCCTCTTCCCCTCTGCCCGTGATCTAATTCCCAAACGCTAGTCTCTCGCCTCCCTCCCTAAACTTCCCATCAAAAGAGAATTAGTTCTTCTTCCTTTTAACCCTCATTTGATGTGCAAATGTCCTTCTATTTGCGCTTTTTTTTTTTTCTCCCTCGGGAGAAAGGAAGGGGAGGAGGAGGAGGAAGAGAGGCATTCCATGGACTGAAAGCCAAGGACCTCCTTACCCCAAATCTGGAAACCTAGACTCTAAAGGGTTAATGAGCAACTCGCTGGGCCACCTGGCCCTCCGGGCTGCAAGTTTGGATGGAGAATTTGCATGATGGACCGGGCTGTATCTGGGACTGAATATTATTTATGTGCACAATAAACCAGTCCTGGTGTGAGGGAGTGAGGGAGTGAGGGAGAGAGGAAGAGAGGGAGGGAGGGAGGGAGGGAGGGAGGGAGGGAGGGAGGGAGGGAGGGAGGGAAGGAGGGTGGGAGGGAGGGAGGGAGGGAGGGAGGGAGGGAGAGAGAGAGAGAGAGAGAGAGAGAGAGAGAGAGAGAGAGAGAGAGAGAGAAAGCGCTTTTGCAGAGAGCATCACCATTCCGTTCTGCAAAAGCATTCCAGATCCCGATATCCCCACCCCTAAGCCTCAGGCCAGACCAGGGCACCCGCGCCCCCAAGCTCCTCCTCCCCAGCTCCAATGCTCCCCGAGTCCACCCGCCCCCAAGGTGCGCCGGTCCAGGGGCAGGACTGTGCAAGGGAGGGGCGGGGTGAAGTGTCAAAGCCCCCCCCCCTCCTCCATGTACACAAACACACCCCTCCCGGCCCCTCCCAGGGCTTTGAAATCCCATCCCAGCTTTGTTGTCTCCCCCGGAGGGGCCGGAGCTATAAAGGCGGCCGCAGCGCGGTGGCGGCGCAGAGCTCCGTGCGCCCCGCAGCCGGGACCGGGGGACCACGGGAGGCTCCGGGCACCAGCAGCAGCAGCACCGGCTTCCTGGGGGGCCGGGGACCGGGCTTGCCAAGGGGACACCCCTCCCTTCTCTCTCTCCCCTTCCCTTGCGCCGCGATGAAGGCCCTGGGCGCCGTGGGCGCCGCGCAGGTCCTGGTGGCGCTGGTGGCTGCGGCTCTCTGCGGCCCGCGCCCCCGGCTCGGCGTCAGCGCCGCCTTGAACTCAGTCCTCCACTCCAACGCCATCAAGAACCTGCCCCCGCCGCTGGGCGGCGCTGCGGGGCACCCGGGCTCGCCTGTCAGCGTGGCCCCGGGGATCTTGTACGACGGGGCCAACAAGTACCAGACCATTGACAGCTACCAGGTGAGGAGGGCACCGCGGGGATCTGGGGAGGGACGCCGGGACCCCGGGTGAGGGGTGTCAGGGCGCGCCGAGCTGAGTGCATTTTTGGGAGCATTTGGAACGTGCATTTTGGGGAGCATCTGGAACGTGCATTTTGGGGAGCATTTGGAAAGTGCATTTCGGAGAGCATTTGGAAAGTGCATTTTGGGGAGCATTTGGAAAGTACATTTCGGGGAGCATTTGGAAAGTGCCTTGGGGAAGGCGAGCGGCGGTGACTTTTGCAGAGGTGGGCAGCAAAGGGCTGGGATGGGTGCGTACAGATTCAGGCGTGGGGGGGGACCTGGATGCCCAGGCGCCTCATCCTCCCCGCCCCTCTCTCCCTTCCTTCCCGCAGCCCTACCCGTGCGCGGAGGACGAGGAGTGCGGCACCGAGGAGTACTGCGCCGGCCCCGCCCGCGGAGGGGGTGCGGGCCCGCAGGTCTGCCTGGCCTGCAGGAAGCGCCGCAAACGCTGCATGCGCCACGCCATGTGCTGCCCAGGCAACTACTGCAAGAACGGTGAGTTCCCCGGCTCCCCTGGGCTCCTCAACCCGCCCCGCCTCTGCTCACCTGCAGCTGGGAGGCTGGGAGGACACACCTCTGCTCTGAGCCGGCTGCGGGGCCGCGGAGGAAGGGGTCCTCCGCAGGCAAGGCTCCCCTAAACCAGGGTTTGTCTCAGAGGACAGATCCTTACAGGGGTCTTGGAGCTCTTTATTCTAACCTACCCCCGTGCACCCTCAAAATGACTTAACAGAACTGCTGATCGTGGAGTGGATCCCCTCCCTAAACCCTGGCCTGGGACCGCCTTGATGTCCATGGAGAAAGAAGGTGGGGAGGGAGGCTGGATGATAGAAAGATACTCTGGCTGTTGACCTGGCCTGTTCGTTTCTCTTACAGTGCCTCTCGGGGCTCTCCCAGTCTGGCTTCTCCTTCCTGGTCCCAGCTGAGTGTTGTCAGCCACAAGACACCGATGTGCCTAGGCTAGCCATTCTTAAGGGAGCTCTCTTGATACCCTCCACCCTGGCGTCTCTTCCCTAACCTTCCCTGCCTCCACTTCCTGCCACCTTAAAATAAGTCCTCCTCTTCCCCACAACCACAGGCCCACTGAAAGTCAATGTCCCAAACAGGTAGTAGACTCAGACAGCCAGAGGAGACTCCAGAAATAAACTCGAGGGTGCCGTGCCTCCTAGAGGACCCAGTCAGGCTCAGGAGGGACTAGCTGGATCTCTGTAACATAGAAATGACCCAGGAAAGGCACTCGTGGCTGGGGAGAGTGCATTCTTCCACGGGGCTGGCATTGTGTCTGCTTCTCCCAGTCTGGGGGCACTCGGAGGGCACCAAGGGCAGAGAGGTTATTTTTAAAAGCAATTTTTTTTAAGTGACCGATTCTCTTTTTCTTACCCCACGGGTGACCTTAAAATGGGCAGAAATCTCACTGTCACTACCCCAGCGGGTAGGAAAGTATCTCAAATGGCTATACTTGAGGATGTTGACTGCACCGTGTATGCACGGGTGCTTCTGGCCACCTGTGGAGTTTGTATGAACACTAGGAAGGAAGTTGGGCTTGTGTTTAAGATCATGCCACTCAAGTGAAGTCCCTCAAGTCGGTGCAGGCATGCCAGACTGCCCCGGTCAGCGCTGCGAGTAGTCACACTGTACAGCGCGGGTGTTAACCACTATCTCCTGCTTCCTCAGGAATATGCATGCCATCGGATCACAATCATTTCCAACGAGGGGAAATCGAGGAAACCATTATCGAAAGCTTTGGCAATGAGCACAGCACCCTGGATGGGTACACCAGAAGAACGACACTGTCCTCAAAAATGTATCACACGAAAGGTAGGTTCAGGGACCCTGAGACTCCTTCTGGGTTGTCAGCACACCGGAAGTGTCTTTGGCACCATCTCTATGCAGCGTTAGCCACGGCCATGTATTTCCCCTTTATCGTCTATTCTCTCCTAGGACTAGAAGGGTCTGTCTGTCTCCGATCATCGGATTGTGCTACAGGGCTGTGCTGCGCTAGACACTTCTGGTCCAAGATCTGCAAACCTGTCCTCAAGGAAGGTCAAGTGTGCACCAAGCACAGGAGAAAGGGCTCCCATGGGCTGGAGATATTCCAGCGCTGTTACTGCGGAGAAGGTCTGTCTTGCCGGATACAGAAAGATCACCATCAAGCCAGCAATTCTTCTCGGCTTCACACCTGCCAGAGACACTAAGCCAGCTGTCCAAACACAGTGGACTCCTTGATAGAATGTAACGCCATGAGAACCTTTTGTGACTGTTTGCCAGCTCAGTCCTTAAGGAGGTACAGCGTCTGTGGTTACAGTTAAGCATTCCAGTAATACCTTCTGAAAAGCGGAGTGTGAAGAGCTTTGTTTCTTTGTGGAACTCTCCTGTCATTTGGTTGCAGTAAATTACTGTGTTGTAAATTCTCAGTGTGGCACTTAACCTGTAAATGCGACAGAAACTCCTTAATTATTTTTTTTTCCTAACGGTGCTGCATTGTCTATTGATCATCTTGTTATGTAAATGTGTGTACACATGGATTGTTATCTCGACTCTGATAAATATTCTATATTAGATTGTAATAAATGATTTTTAGCTTCTACTTCCTACATGCATAACCCTTTTCCCTTTTGATTCTAGAGGCTAGAATGTGAGGAACGTTTGGAATGACAAGTGATAGGTTGTCTAAAAATTTTTCGTGAGAATACTAGTTTGTTTTCTGAAATGTACTATCTCAGTGCTTAGATTACATATATATTTCTAGGCTGCGGTAGTCCTTGAAATAAAATTTTACGTTTAATACCATGAAATGTTACAAGGATAGATGCATTTTGGCATTGTGACCTTAGAAGTGTGCGTGTGTTCTTCAGGGACAGAAATGTGACATATTTAGAGATGATCAGAGAAAGATATTGCCTAAGTATAGGGCAATATATTCTTCGTTGACAAGCTGAAATGATCATGGTGTCAAAAAAACAGTTTCCAATACATTAATATCTACCCAAATGGTTAATAACTATTGGGCAACAAAGGGAGTTTGCATCAAAAGTCATACCAGAGCAAAAAATTGATAGTTAGCAGGAAGAGGGTGTGTGTGTGTGTGTGTGTGTGTGTGTGTTTATGTGTAGAAATACAGTCAGCAAGCATATGCAGATTTGGTACCAAGTAAGTTAATTCGAAGTATCTTAAATACTATTTCATGCCAGGAAGACTTGTTCTAATTACTTTTGATTTTTAAGAAGTTATTAAATACAAACCACAAGGCCGCCTTCATTATCTTCTTTTCATCTCTTGCTAGGTTGAGCTGAAGATTTCAAATTTTTGCCTAACCTGAATTATGTTGATTACAATAAGGCTAGGGGCATATTGTTTAAAGGAAAGCCCACAGAAATGAAATCAAACTGGCCTTGCATTTTTACCTGCCAACTTTGATATTGTCAAACCCAATACCAGGGCAACTGCCTCAATTTCCACTTACTCTGTAATATACTCACGTCTACATCAAATCCCCAAAATGCTGGGTTGAAGGCTCTGGGAAGGACAGGGACTGATCAACAGGGTTCCTTAAAGAACGCAGATGTCCCTGCCTGTTGTTGTTTTAGCATTCCCGGAAGTGGTTCAGTTTCAAGGGGCTCGCCAAAGGGCCACAAGGGCTGGTTGGCTCTTCTCTGAGAAGGGGACTGGCAGGATGTCTGCTGTTACATTCCTTTTGTCTGGAAGTTTCAGCTTCCTCACCCTGGAGAAACTTGCTTTTTCTGCATGTGCTTGTTTTCTGAAGTGCCAGGAAGGCCCATTCTAAGGCCTGCCATCTCCAATAAAACACAATAGAGGAGAGGAAACAGGAAACCCTTTCTTCCGAAAGAAGAAAGAAGGGCCTCTGTGTCAGAGGGGAAAGGAGGAGCTTTCAAAGGGCTCGGTTATGGAATCCCTTCCTTTCTGCAGGAACTGACTGCGGCCAGAGCATTCCCCCCTCTAGACATCTTGGTGCATCAATCATTAGTTCTGGCCCTTTTGGCTCCCCATCCAGGGATGGGGGTGGCAGAGCGACAAACCAATCGAGGAAGGACACCTCTCCTTCCTATCCAGCTGAGATGTTAGGAAGAGACAAAAAGGAAGTCTGCACATTTATAAAGGTGAAGCAGGCCACCAAGAAAACTGTAGATATTGTATTAACTCAGCTAGTTATAGAGGCTGAAAGACAGAAGTCAGATGACATACAAATTCAAAAGGGGATCATTGCTGCCTAAAATGTGTACATGGTTTTACTTTTAAAGAATTTATTAGAATGGAAAATATATGCACTTGGGAATGCATTCACAGGTATTTGATCAAATGGGAGCACGCTCTACACGCTGCCCTGCATCTTGCTATTTTTAATTTTTTTTTACTTTGTGTGTCTTGCTGGTCACATTCTATGTAATATGTACACAGGTGCCTCATTCTTTTTAATGGTTGCCTTAGAGTACAGTATGTTGGAGTGGCTATACCGTAATTTATTTAAAGGGATATTTGAGAGACATTTAAATTATTTCCAGTAGTTTTGCTATAAGAAATATTGTGCCATGACTACAGAATTCTTATGTTGTTGTTATTCTTGTGCCAGAATACTTATAGGATAAGATAATGACTGATTTCTGAAGCAAAATTTAAAATTAAAAAAACATGCTTTTTAGCATAAGGACTGACATGGGTAAAATGTCACAAGCCTGCTTATCACTGTTCTAGTGATGATTAAACTCATGTCAAATTGTATTAAAGGGGGGAACAGAGAAATACAGGCTTATCCTAACAAGTTCACAGTAATCTCTGGCATTCAGTTAAATGTAGACTTTCTCTAATTCCTTTTATTTTAAAATAATTACTAAATAAAATCACAAACAAGTCATTCCCCCAATCCTTTTTCTTATTTTGCTAGAGGACTTAAATATTTCAATTTTTGTTTAACCTGAAATCTATTGTTAAGAATGAAGATGGAAATATATTGCTTAAAAAACACCACCACAGATATGCAGACTAAGTTTGATTATTCATATTTCAGTATATTAAAAGTTTATGAATTTTTCCCATGGTAAATCGAATTGTACCAATTCAAATACAGAATTAGTAACAATTATGCACATGTATGTGACTTGTGGGGTGAAATAAATTTTGCCCCTATGATAGTGCATGCATTATTCTCACACCTACATTTTAAGGTTGATATTCTCTTTATAGTATCAGTGAGGTTATGTTTGCCCACATCATGCAGTTAGAAACTGAGGGGCCATGGATTCTACCCCAAGTCTGTCTGATTCCAGAGCCTGTGTCTCTAACCACTATACTAAGCCACCCCCAGTGCTATCACTTATAGCGCTACCACACTTGTCAGGGTGGCATAAATTTTATCAGTTTTAGTATTTCTAACTGTGTAGTCAAATTAACATGCATTGTCACTTATGGAAGTTTCAGGTGAAATTATTCAATTTTCCTTCTTTTTTGAAATTATAAAATTAATTTTATCATGACACCAACTTTCTTTTATAGTCTTAAAGAAAAATAGGCAGTGCTACCATCAGACTTATAAAATGTATCCATTGAGTTTTGGATTACAATTTTCATACCTTCTAAAATACTACTCTGAGTACAATACCAAAGTATGATACATTATCTCCCTACAAAAAAAGGCAGCAAAACAAATAGTCTATCTAATTTAGAAATATGATGTTTGTACAAATGTGGGTCTGTCCTAATAGCAACTGTTTAAGAATAGTCAATCCTGTCAATAATCTGAGCCTACAAGCTGGGTAATGCTGAGCACCTGAATTCAATAAACATTGAGCCTGTCAGCTCAGTAGGCTCTGCTGGCATTTAGAAGGATGCATGCATTTAAAATTATGTTTACACCTTTAACATCAAAAAGCTCACCATTTAGCAAAACAATAAACAACCTTGAGAGATGGGGGTGGCTTAGTATAGTGGTTAGAGACACAGTCTCTGGATTCAGACAGACTTGAGTTAGAATCCATGGCCCCACAGTTTCTAACTGCATGATATGGGCAAATATAACCTCACTGATACTATAGAGAGAATATCAACCTTAGAGTGTAGGTGTGAGAATAATGCATGCACTATCATGCTACTTGGCATGATGTCTAGCTCATAGTAAGCACTCAATTTAGGTCTTTACTATTTTTGGACTATGAAACCCTTTATAATAAGATATATCACACATTAAAAGCAATTTAATCAGCCTGTAGGTACTCTCAAAAAGCTTCAGGGAAGCTGCGGTATTTAAACCATTTTCTTCTCAAGGCCTTTGAATTCAAGGAAGATAAACCCTTTAAACTAGAGAGAGTAAAAGGATGCATGGATTATAGCGCTACCGCTTATGAAATCAGTATGGAAACCATTCTGCAGACTATTTCATTAACTTGCTAATGACTTCCGATCTACAGTAATTTGCACATGTATTTGGCTTGTCAGGGTAGCACAAATTTCACCCCCATGGCCTTCAGACTCAGCTCTGTGAGCCAACTGCTTAGCCTCTCAGAGGTTCCATTTCAGATTGGCTCCGTTTTGACATGGGGTTCACTTCTAGTCAAATTGGCCAGATTGGCCACCTGGATGTGAAAATACAAACATTCTGACTCCATCCAGGGCACCTTCAATAGGCACTTTGGCAGTTGTACAGGAAGGGTTGTGTAGAGACAGTTGCCACATATAAGTTATGAAAGATGAGGAGTTGGCAGGTAGGAAAGAAATGAAAGGCTATTAGGGTATAGGAAAAGGTATCAGAGTTGAGCCAAATTACAAAGCTATAAAAGTAATAATACATACTATATTTAAAAGTGGGGTGATAACCCACTGTGGCTAGAGTATGGGGTATCTGGAAGGAGAACGTTTCTAATTTTTTTGTAATTCAATTTGTTATCGAGGAAACTAAAAAAGATGAAAAAAAAAAAACACAAAACTTCATTTTCAGCAATATTATGTGATGGAGTTGATGATATGATTGAGACATTTTGTCTCAATATGTTACTAGACTCTCTTCATAAATATGATTTTTTTGTAAAGATGTTATGAAAGAATATTATTTTCTTTCCAGCAAGAGTTGTCATATCAGGTGGTGTTGGAGTTAAATTATCTTTGAAAAAATTTTGTTGTTGACTGATATAATTAACACACGGCTCTCACAAATCATGGTGAATGTTTTTGTGCCCAAAAGTTGTAA